GGAGACTTTAAATTGATCAATTTAAAATTGTATTATAGGTTTGTCTTGATTATATTTTTGTTCTAGAAAGCTTAATCTAGTGGAAGGTAGGAAAAGAAGCCAGACAGATAGCGAGGAGAGAGATTCATGGTTGACATAGAAAACAATAAAAAAACAGCTAAGTGAGATGGCGCATGCCTATAATTCCAGCACTCAGGAGGCTGAGGCAGGAAAATCTTTCAAGAGTTTAAAGTTTAAGTCCAGCCTGAACTATACAGTGAGACCTTGTCACAAACCACTCCCCCAAAACAAAGCAAAACAAAACAATAAAATCTCAGAGAAGCAAGCACCAGTAAGGGCAGTTTAATTACTTGTTCACTATGCAATGTGGGTGGTAATGAGGAATTTAGAATTGACTGGCCATTTAAGAAAATAATTATAAACAGGGCATAGTGGCATATACTTGTGTGAGGAAACTACTTGGGAAGGTTAGGCAGGAGGATTTAGAGTTTGAGACCAGTCTGGGAAGCTTACTGAGATCTTACCACAAAAAGGATTGGAGATGTAATCAGCATTACCTGAATTCAAGCTTTAGTTGCAAAGTAAAACAAAAGCTTATATATACTAAAAACTGAAGACATGCGCCTTCTCTCTTATTTATTGTTGTACCCCCGTATCAGGCATACAGTAGGCAATGATATATATTACCATCCCTTGATTCTGGCTGCCAGTAACATTACGACATGAAAAAAAAGCTTTAAATCTATATTTATTAACAAAGTGTTTTGTTTTGTTTGTTTTGGCAGAACCAGGGATTGAACTCAGACCCTTGTGCTTGCCAGGGTAGTGCTTATTCTACTGAGCCATCTTCCTGACCCCTTCACAAGGTTTTGTTAGGTTCAACATAGAATAAGATAGGAATGAAATGTACATAAATATTGGTTATTTATGGAATTTGGAAGCATGATTAAGCCTGGATATTTTATTTGAACTTAAACGTACTTTTAAAAATTTCAACAGCCAGGCATGGTGGCGCTTGCCTGTTGTAATCCTAGCACTTGGGAGACTGAAGCAAGAAGATCATTGGGAGTTCAAGGCTAACATGTACTACATAGTGAGACTCTTTCTCAAAAAGCTCCTCCCCAAGTTTCTCTAAAAGTGTGCTTTTTAAAAAAAGACAGGGCCAGCCAGATAACTCAGTGGATTAAAGTGCCTGTGTAGGCATACTCAGAAACTGGGGTTTGATACCCTGGTATGCCTGTGTGGCCAGGCGATTGAGACTGGGCGTGGTGGTGCATGCCTGTAATCCCAGCGCTTGGGAGGCTGAAAACAGGAGGATCACTATGAGTCTGAGCTCTGTAGTGAGACCCTGTAGACCCCTGTACTAAATACATTAAAAATTAATAGATAGATGGATAGATAGAGGACAGCTTCCCACCCCAGCAGCCCACAGTTGTGGGTCCTCCTGTGGAGGCTGCCTAGTGTCTGAGGACGTTTTTCTGCCTGGCTGAAGGAAGAGGGAAATTCGAAGCACCCCATCAATTTTAGAATAAAGCAATTGCTATAGAAAACAAAAAAGAGGACAAGTTTTTACTCTCTTAAAAGATTATTTTCACTAATAGGGAGTATTTATGATATATAAATGGATTTGTGGATTAATTTGTTTTAGCCAATATTTTATTCTTTATAGAACCACTTCAAAGTTAAGATCCAGTTATATGAACATATGTCTCTACTTATGGTAAAATGGATTGGTAGGGAAGAGGCCTCATGAGTATCACACATGTTGATAAATTTTGAGACAATATGACATACTCCTTTTGTGAATTTAAGCACACTCCTTCCCTTAAAATATAATTTTGCTTTTATTTGATTTTAAAAGTGTGTCACTATATTAATTTAATTTTTAAAAGAAAATTTCTAGGCTTTTAACCATCAATTTAAATCAGTAGGTTTGTGGTCAAACTAGGAGATCATTACATAAAAACTTAGTTTACCAGTTTAGATCTTACATTGTTTGCAAATGAGGAACAAATTCAGTAGTTCACATTTATTCCCATACGTTGTGTTTACTCCGTGTAAGTGCTAAGCACTATCTATGTGCTAGATGTCTTAAAAGTTTGACAGGATGGAAATAGTTTTCATTCCTGAGGTTTTCAGGTGGACTATGTGCGTTTGATAAAGGTCTATATCCTTAGTAATCAGTTAGCAGATGCCGTTTTAGAAATTATCTGTATGCAAGTAATGTTTTAAGCAAGTACTATGTGGAGCAGGATCACACTTCTAATACTATTTTATGTATAATCAAATTAATGATATTAAACAAAACTATTCTTTAATTTTGCAGTTGATAAAAATGGTGATGTTTGCATTTCTATTCTTCATGAACCTGGTGAGGATAAATACGGTTATGAAAAACCAGAGGAACGCTGGCTCCCTATCCACACTGTGGAAACCATCATGATTAGTGTCATTTCGATGCTGGCAGACCCTAATGGGGACTCACCTGCTAATGTGGATGCTGCGGTAAGGTCATCCCTTCCCGTTTCTCTTCCTATTAATAAAACTTGACTTGATAGCACTTGATTACATGCCTGTAATCCCAGTATTTGGGAGGCTGAGGCAGGATCACCATGAATTCAAGACCAGTATGTACTACGTAATGAGACCCTGTCTCAAACAAATAACAAAACAGTCTACAAAACCTTCATGTGTGACATGGTAATGTTGGAATATGTGTACATCAAGAACACAATAAAGGCTGGGTGTGGTGGTGCACATCTGTAACCCCAGCACTAAGGAGGCTGATTCAGGAGGATCACTGTGAGTTTGAGGCAAGGCTGAACTGCGTAGTGAAACCCTGTCTCAGAAACACTGGCCCTCCTGGGGGGGAAAAAAAAAAAGCGGGGGGGGACCCCCACTCTACAATACAATATTGGTGATTTGATATAGGGTCTCTCTATGCATTTGAAGCTGGTCTTGAAGTCACAGTGATCTTCTGGCCTCTTAGCCTCCAGAGTGCTGGGATCATAGGTATATACCACCTGGTTCCAAAAACATCATTAATACAAAATATATAATAAATTTTATATCTTATTGTGGCTACAGTAATGTGGCTGTAATACTGTGATAAGGGATACAGTACATCAAAAGAAGCACATTGTGACATTTTAAATTTTACTTATAAATGTTGGATGGGGATGTGTGGAGTAAAAATGCAAGTTTTTATGCATCAAAGGTAAGTTGTTGCCGGCTGTGGTGGTGCATGCCTGTAATCCCAGCCCTTGGGAGGCTGAGGCAGGACTGCTAACCGTTTGAAGGCCAGCCTAGGCTACAGAGTGAGTCCAGGGTCAGCTTGAATTACATAGTGAGTGAGACTCTTTCCCACCCTCATAAAAGGTATATTGTTAATAGCTTAAGATAGCCTGTTAATAACCATTAAGTATTCTTATAAGCTTCATGGAAAATATAAAGTATTAATCTCCAGTAGATGCAGAAAAAGTTTTTTAAAAAAAATCAAAGCACACCAATTGAGAAAATCACTTAATCACAAAGGAAAGGAAAGAGAAAATCTATAGAGGAGCCAGAAAACAACAACCAAAATGGCAGAAATAAGTCCATACTTTTAGTGGGGTTTAAGGCTGGGGCTGAGAACTTTGTTCTAGATTCCTCCATTGTTTGGCTTGAAATTAGGTTCATTCTGTCAGCCTACTGCCAGCAGCCTCCCTTGGGTTTCCCCTTTATTGTTCTTCTGGATCACATCTTCTGTATCCTGGATTCCCCTTTTGATTTGCTTCCTTTTTTTGCTAGGTACTTCATTCTAGATTAATGTCTTAGGCTATGGAGGAATTAAATTCAGATTCCTTTCATGATTGAAGATGTTTTTATCTTTTATGCTTAATTGATCTTTTATGTAAAGTTGTGCAAAATTTTTATACAGAATGTGTTCTTTGCCTTTTCTCATTGCTGCAAAGTTGATGCTTTGCTGATTTTTCACCATTTCTAAGTAACCTGTTTTTTTAAAAAAATTATTTGTGTGTGTGTGTGTGTGTGTGTGTGTGTGTGGCCAGCTCAGCCCACCAGGGGGCGGGGCTGGCTGGCATGTGGTGCTGGGGATTGAACCGCTGTCACTGTGCTTTGCTAAGCTTGTTCTAAGTAGGTGCTTTAGACTACTGAGCCATCTCACCAGCCCCTAAGTAACCTGTTTTTGTTATTCCATTTTTTATAGGGTTTTTTATTTTTAGTTTTCTGAATTCTCAATGTAGTTGAAAGTCTTTAATTTTTCATCCTTGATATTTGAGTTTAAAGACTTTTAAAATTATTTTGAGAATGTTTCCATATTTAATATTGTTTTTTGAAAGAAAACTTAATCTAATTTTTACCCAGATTGAGATACATGTGTAAAATTTATATCTGTAATCATTATTTGAGGAAAGTTTTTAGCTATGAGGGGGAAATCTTGAGTGCAAAGACTTTAGTCTTTGTTTTTAGCTGTATTTCTTGGACTTTTCTCTAAGTGCCTGCTTATGCATATGCAGTCAGGCAGCCAGGTGCAGGATACCGTGGTTCAATCCCTTGCTCCTCATGCCTTACCAGACCCACCCTTAAGCAACCTGAGCCAGCTCCCCCCCCCCCAAAAAAAAAAAAAAAAAAAAAAAGAAAAGAAAATCTTTCTTGGGCTTTTCTCAGTTGACCATTTCCAAGTCTTAGTTTTTTTAGACTTTTTAATATGCCCATTTCATCCTTTTTTTCTCATTCCATTGAGACTCTGTTGTTTGCTACTTTTTCTTCTGTAGTGCAAGTTTTAAAACTCTTATATCTGATTTTTTTCTTCTAATCCCCTCCATTGTTGGGTTGCTTCATTGCTGTTTTCTTTCATATTGAGGGTTATAGTATGAAAAAAATTCCAGTGTGATCACTTTAATAGTGTCTCAGGTAAGCAGAGATCAACATATATACTTTTGCTATATTAAATTCATAGTTTCTCTGCATATAAAATGGGGTTGATAATACCCACCTGGTAAGCATAGTACATGAGCCAATGAACTCAACAAATGTTTGCTCTATTGTCTAGTCTCTTCTTTGGAACCATCATTCATTGTTCTTCTCCTTGCTGAGAAGTCATCCTTACCAGTCTTGTGTCATTTGCCAGAGAGCATCAGTTACACGCCTTTGTGAGTTCTTGTCCATACTGTCTGCCACTGATGAGAGTCCTTTTTTCTTTTTTGTACAGTACTATAATCACCTCTTCCTCTGTGATCTCTCTGTTCTCTTTAACCTTTGCTTTTGTTTTTCTTTTTTGGTATGGAGATCAAATTCAGGATGTTGTGCTTGTCACACATAGGCTGCTGAGCTACATTACATCCTGGCCTTCTCTGTTTTCTTGATTATCTATTATGGTACAATTTTTAGATTACCATTTCTTGAGATTGTCTTTACCCTTTAACCAGAATTGCCTCTTGCATCTGTTTACTTAAAAATATAGCCAGATTATGTACAGCAAACATGTAATAAAAGACTTTGTTAACATATATAAACATACACATGCAAGCATACATGCACACACAAAGAAGCCAGATGTGGTAGCCCCTACCCACAGTATTAATGCTCTGGAAAGTAGAAGGATCACAATTTTAGCCCGGTCATCTTTTAGTGAAGCCTGTCTCAAAAAAAAATTTTTTTTTTTCTTTTAAAGCCCTCAGGTTTAGTCACCAATGGGGGGAAGAAGGATTATTACAGAAATTATAAATACTCATACAGACTTCAAAGATCTGAAAGATTAGGACATTCTTATGAATAACCACAATGCTATTATTATGCCAAATTTGCTGTAATTCCTACAGATATTCATGTGTCTAGTTTACATTTATATTTCCCCTGTTTTTCCTCAATTTTGAGATTCCTTTTCCCTGACTGGGGATACCAGAAAGACTTTCTGGCTTGGATGAGAGTCTTTACTATTCTCTGTCAGCATTATTTTTGATTAGACAGTGTTAGTAATAATTTGCTTTTGGTCCTACCTTTTTTTTTAAATGAAATTCATTTATTTTACTTTGTTTGGTACAGGGTCTCACTATGCAGCTAAGACTCTAGTGATCCTTCTGTGTCAGCCTCCCCAATGCTGGGATTACAGGCCTATGCCACCATGCCTGGTTTTGGTAGTCGGCATGGTACAGGGCTTGCAAGGCATGTGTTACTGGGAATCAAAGCCAGGTCCTTGTGCTTGCCAGACAGGTGCTTAGACTGCTGAGCTATATTTCCCCAGCCCAATGTGTCTTGTCTTAAAGGCAAAAACTTTTTGAATCTCTTTTCCTGGGGCAAGAAGTGAAGATTTCTTTAGTCTTTGTTGTCTCTAAATTGATAACATTCAAAGAAAGAGAAATACAGGTTGAACATTTTTTGTGAGCATTTCCGGCTTTCTGCATCCTGGGTAAAATTAATTCTGTTCTACTTTAGCTGCTAGTGCTACTGTGGGTTCTATGTGCATGTGTCTTAAAGGGACAATGATACATCACACATTTGCCCCTCCTTTCACTCTGCTAGTACTCTGTAACATCACAGTACGATGTGTCTCATCTGTCTTCCTTAGGTAGGAGGTACGTTTATGCTGACTTTGCTTTCTGCTTGTTTCCAGGTGCAGAGTTGGTAATTGTTTAGATAATTTGAATGTCTTATTTGTAAATTGTAGCTTTCTTTTTAGAGTAATACTACACTGCAACTTCTTTTATGGTCTCTTTTCCTTTTTTTTTTGCTGAACCAGGGATTGAACTCAGGCCCTGCGCTTGCCAGGCAAGTGCTTATTCTACTGAGCCATCTCCCTGGCCCCTTCCTTTTTTTTTTTTCCCCCTTGAATTTTTAGGGAAGGGTCTACAGGATGTTGAGGGTCTCACTACTAGATGAGACTCCTAGTGATCTGCCTGTTTACAGCCTCCCAAGTGCTGGATTACAAGCTGTGTCACCCTGCCCAGTCTCAATTGCTATCTCAGTGAGTCCCGGGGGTGGGGCCGACAGGAAGGCCTGGGGATCGAACCCCTATCCCTGTGCCTGTTTACAGGCGCTTTAATCTGCTGAGCTATTTGCCCAGCTCTTTTCCATTTGAAAATAATGTTTCCTGTAAATTCTTTTCCTGCATAGAAATTTCTGCTTGCACGTCCCAGCACAGTGCCTTATATTTTTGGTCGGGTGTGGTGATAAAACTGTAATCCCAACACTCAAGAAGCTGAAGCAGGAGGATAGCTCTGAGTTGGAGACCAGCCTCAGAGCTACATAGTGAGTTCAGGGCCTGCCTGAACTGTGCAGCAAGACCTTGTTTTTTGGAGGTTTTGTTTTTTGTATTTTTTTTTTGGGTGGGGGGAGTACCTGAAATCAAACTTACGACCTCACACTTGTCTGGCAGGCACTATGCCTCTGAGCCGTATTCCAAACCTGTGACCCTGTTTCAAAAAAAAAAAAAAAAAATGCACAAATACTACTGACTGCTTTTCTTGTTTGTTTGTTTATTTATTTATTTATGGCAGAACTGGAGAATGAACTCAGGCCCTTGTGCTTGCCAGGCAAGCACTTACCCTACTGTGCCATGTCCCCAGCCCCTGCTTTTTCTAGTTTTAGCAATTTACCATTTAAAGTGTGCAGATCACCAAAAGGATGTATTTGAAGTTAAATATATGAGATTATAAGAAGACATTTGTATCAAATCACTTGATATTATCTTTGTATCTACAGAAAGAATGGAGGGAAGACAGAAATGGGGAATTTAAAAGGAAAGTTGCGCGCTGTGTAAGAAAAAGCCAAGAAACTGCTTTTGAGTGACATTTATTCAGCAGCTAGAAATTTCATTTATTTCAGGGTAAGTTCATTTTAAATATACTGTTTTCTTTATCTTTTAAGTTCTGTGATAATTTTTTTTATTGTGTTTTATGAATTGTTTGATTTCTTTGGTTTTGCCTTTTTGTTTTTTAAAGCAGTATTACCAAACCAGTTTTCTTTTTACTGATAGTAAAATTTCTGACAATCAAGTTTTTATTTCAGTTTAGTTTCTTGCATTTTGTCTAAAGCCTACCATCCTGATGTTTCTTGCATCTTCTTGTAATGAATATTATATATGGTAAAGGATAACTTAAATTTTGGTTTTTGTACATCTTAAAAAAATAAGAATCCCATTTCATATTACACTGCCAAAACCATTAAACATTTTTCTTTTTTCTCCTTCCCCTTTAGTTGATTTTTTACTTCCTTGATCTTTTCACTGACAGGGCAAGTAAAGAAAGTTTCTCAGCCTGGCATGGTGGTGCACGCAGCACTTGGTAGACTGAGTCAGGAGGATCATTGTGAATTTGAGGTCAGCCTGTGCTAAATAGTAAGTTCAAGGCCAAGCTGAATTACATACTGAGACCCTCTCTCATTATATAAATAAGTTTCTCTGTCACTGCATAATGTTTGTTTATAAGTTCTGTTGTAAGTCTAGCAAGTAATGAAAGATGGAAGGCCCCCATCTGACTTAGAAGAGGATGTAATGTAGATGAATTGACTGTGTATGTTTCTTTTGTTTTGTTTCGTTTTGTTTGAGACAGGGTTTTAGTATGCAGTTCAGCCTGCCCTGACCTCACTTTGTAGCCCAGGCTGGCCTCAAACTCACAGCAATCCTGCTTCAGCCTCAACCATGTATGTTACTAGATTTAAAAAAAAAAAAAAAAAAATTAATCCTGAGATATGAAACTGTGAAATTTATTATCTAAAGAATCTGAATATTTACCACCACCATGCCCATTCCTTTTTCACATTTTAATTCTGGATTTTTACTGTTCGTAATTTCTCCAAATTTTTTTTTTTTTTTTTCGGAGCCAAGGATTGAACTCAAGCCCTTGAGCTTGCCAGGCAAACACTTATTTAACTGAGCTATCTGCCCAGCCCCCCTAAATTTGTGTTCTTAAGCAATGTATTATATACTTTTCAACTTATATCTATGAAATTATAATAGATATATTCTTTTATGATCATTATTCATTCATTGCAACACAGGTCCTTCACATCGACCTGTGTTGCAAGTAACTACGGTTTATCTTTTTCAGTATTTCATTAGAAAAATCACCCGTCTACATTTTATTCTAATTGCTATTCTTTTCAGATTTGGGGCAAGGAAATTGCTTCTGCCCTGCTGTAATTTTTTTTTTTTTCCTTTTTCATTCTCCCATGTAGGACTGAGGATTGAGCTCAGGGCCTTCACACTTCATACTTTCTCCCCCTTAGGATTTTTTGTTTTGAGACAAGTTCTTTCTTAAGTCATTAAATTGCCCAGCTTGAGGGCCTGTGAGATACCTCAGCAGACTAAGTGCCTGCTTCAGCAAGTGCAAGGACTGGGGTTCAATCCCCAACATTGCGTGCTATGCCTTCCCCACCCCAGGGTGCACTGAGCCACCAAGACCAGGCATGGTGGCACACGCCAATAATCCTAGCACTGGGGAGGCTAAAAATAGGAGGATCACTACTAGTCTGAGTCTAGTCCAAGCTGTGTAGTGAGACCCTGTACCAAATACATAAAAAAATAAAACTATCAAATTACCCGGCTTGAACTAGAACTTCACAGTCCCCTGGCTCAGCCTCCCAGAATGCTGAGACTACAAGTATGTGCCATCACATGTTTTGTTTTTACCATAGTAGAGTGTGGCTGTCCTTGTTTCCAGATGTTTCTCAAGGGCAGTGATAGGGAACCTTTTAGAGCTTTCCATAACAAACATCTGGCTGCAAGGAATGTGCCATACATAGGTTTGCCAGCACTGCTTTAGAGCATATACCTAAAAGTGGAGTTGTCATTCTGAAGGATGCATGCACATAATTTTGGCTAAATAAGGCCAAAATGAAAGTTTTGCCTCCAAGCTGGGTGTGATGGCATGTACCTGTAATTGAAGCACTCAGGCAGAATGATCAGCTGGAGTTCAAGGCCAGCCTGGGTGGGCTACATAGTCATTTCAGGCCAGCCTGAGACCCTGTCTCCAAAAAAACAAAAAAAAAAAAAAGAACAAAAATTTTGCTTCTATATGCTCCTGTTGGCAACCACAGTAATCCCATTTGCTCCCTAGCTTCTCCAAAATTTAATATTATCATACATCTAAAATTTCAAAAATCTGCATGTTTAAAAATGTCTTTTTTATTTTTCTTGCTCTTGTTTATACTCTTCAAACAATTATAAAAAATATTTGCCAATTAGACATGCTGTAAATGCAGTAAAAAATGATAGGTCATTGTGAACTTGATATGCAGCACCCTATATACCAGTGAAATTGCATATTGTTTCATGAGTTGACCATTGAGGGGGGTTTTTGTATGTGAAACACCTGCAGGTTTCTAGAATTATTTTTCTGTGAGAATGTTGGTTTGAATGCTTGTTATGCCATGGTATATTTGAATTAATAGTTCTTTTAATGTAGTTGAATTCATTAGTCCTTTGTGGATTTTACATTCCTGTGTCTTAATTAAAATGTCCTCCTCTTTCCTGCCACCAAAAAGCTGCTATTTTATATTATCCCCTGAACTATTTCAATCTTTGCCTCCCATCTCTATTAATATACTGCAATTGATTTTTGTGCATGATGTGGTACAGCTTGTCTGCTCCTCAAAGTATTGAGAAGTCTTCCTTTCTTCATTGATACACAGTGCCAAGTAATGATCTAAAATCACCTCAACCCTTTCTCTTTCCATCTTCTTTTCCCTCTCCCTCCCTAGAGTTTTATGTTGATGAGGGTAGCCTTGGTATAGTTCTTGATGGTTTTGAACTGTTGCTGATTCTCCTGCCTCAGGCTCCCTAGTGGTGTGGGATTATAGGGCATCCACCACCAAGCTAACCCTATTTATACTGCTTGAATTAATCTGTCCCTAATCTAGCACAACACTGTCTGAATTTTTGTTATTTTGATGATCAAATGTATCAAATACAAAGATACAAGCTACAAGTAAGTTTATAGTCTATTCACCACTTAATCCTGCTGACATATTTGATATCGCTAGTTTTCTGGAAACACTCATATGTAATTTTAGATCCCCTTAATTAATTAATTATGTATGTATGTATGTATGTATGTATGTATTTTTTGAGGCAGGGTGTCACTATGTAGTGCAGGCAGGCCTTGAACTCACTTTGTAAGTATCCTAGGCTGGCCTTGAACTCTCAGAGATCCTCCTGCTTGAGCCTCTGGAGTGACCCTTAAATGCTGAAAATATATTTTTCCTACTAGTAGGTATAACAATAATCTTTCCTTTCTCAAATGATTCCTGTTTTCAACGTCTTGTTTATATCATTTGTTTTTATTCAGTGTTTGCTAATAATTTTTATTCTCTGTTTACTGATACTTCCATCATATATAGTCTGTGATTCTTTTTTCTTTAAGTCTGTGGTTCTTGTAACTGGTCTGTTCTTTTGCCTATAATATCTTTAGATCAAGATCTTATTAACAGGGGCTGGGGAGATGGCTCAGTAGGATAAGCGCTTGACTGACAAACGCAAGGATCTGAGTTCAATCCCCACTTCCGCCAAAAAAAAAAAAAAAAAAAAAAAAAGATCTTATTAACAGATTCTTGCCTTAATCTCCTTGTGTGGAACATTTTTTATAGTCATCCTATAAACAATGTCCATGTCAGTCTTGACAAAGCTGAACTCACTGCGTTGTTTCTTTATAGATGTTACATCCTTTTAAAACCAAGAAAACCCTGAGGGCTTGTTCTCCATACCAGTTAATTTATTTTCTTTCTTTCTTATGAATTTAGGACAGGGTGTACATGGTATACAGGGTATCACTACATAGATAGGACTTGTGATTCTCCTGTTTTCAGCCTCCCAAGCGCTGGGATTACAGGGCATGCCATCACGCCCAGTCTCAATCACCATCTCAGCCAGCCCTGGAGGCTGTGGCCCAGCCCGCACTGCAGGTCCAAGGATCGAACCTCAGGGCCCTGGGTCTGCCTAAGCAGGCACTTTAATCTTCTGAGCTATCTGGACGGCCTTTCCACACTCATACATGTTTTAATGTTAGGGCTTTGATAACCAGAAAAAAGAGTAAAATAATCCTACAAAGCCTACATTTATCCAGAACTTTTCAGTACTACATTATAAATTTTGTGAATAACCAATAGTTTCACTATATTTACCTTGATATCATATAGAAAATGAATTTAGTAGTACTAATGAAGTGTCAGAAATAAAATATCTCGCCACACTGAAGACTGAGCTCAAGGCCTTGTGTAGCTAGATAGGTGCTCTGCTGCTGAGCTATATCCCTTTTCTTTTTTAACTGAGACAAAGTTTCCCAAAGTTGCCCTGGCTGGTCTGGAACTTCTGATTTTTCTGCATCAGCCTCCTAAAGCAGCCATGATTATAGACATACACCATACTCACCAAATATCTCTTATAACTTTGTAAGGGATTGTGTATTACCTACTTTAGTAGTAGGGTGAGTTAATTTATGTTTAAACATAGCATATATGTAACTTTAAATCTCACTTATTAAAGTAGTCTGTTTAGGGGGCTGGTGAGATGGCTCAGTGGTCTAAAGCACCTATTTAGAACAAGCTTAGCAGAGCACAGGGACCACGGTTCAATCCCCCAGCACCACATGCCAGCCAGCCCCGCCCCCTGTGGGCTGAGCTGGCCACACACACAAATAAATAAATAAATAAAATTAAAAATAAAATAAAATATAAAAAATAAAAATAAATAAAGTAGTCTGTTTAGCAAAAGGTGTAGCCTAAAAGTACTGTTGAGTCACCATACTTCATTTTATAGAACAGGATAGTAAAAACAATATGGTGTATGTACTGTTAATGATGAAACTAATAAGAAAAACTTAAGATTAAAGA